TTTTTTTTTATTTTTTAATACTAACTTCTGAGATCACTATCATATTCAAGTAACTATACCAAAGGACATAATTAACTTGTTCAACAGGTCTCTAATATCTGAAAATGTGTTTGATATTAAAACTACTTTTTTTACTGAATACTCCTGAGGGTGTGAGTATAGGTGTAAATAGTATACTTGTATCGAGCACCCACATCCCGTCTAGATGCACGTTTAAAATCAGTTACGCTATCCTACAGTATTCCTGATATTAAACATTATTAAACCGAATTGTGATGAGCTTGAAAATAAGAGTTTGAATAATTTTAAATAAGTTTTATTTCATATTGTCGTGATAAAAAAAATAAATACTTCACTCTTGGGACGAGATATAATAGGACAAGAGATAATTCGTACGAATTGTAAAGAGATAAAATGAAATCGGACAAAAAGCACTTAGGACAAAATGTAGAGTTGCCAAATAAATAAATGTTTTCAAATAAACTACGATGATGGTTTCAATGGTGAACACCAATAGACATTTGTATCAAGATTAATATCAAATCCGTTTGTATTTCGAATCTCTTCAACATCGTTTAACATTTTTTTAACATTGTCAATGAATTTTGTTTGCTCTTCCGAAGGTAATTTTGCAATAAAACTCATCGATAAAATCATTTTTAAAGCTAGGTCTTCTGTTACTCGTTGTTTATGACTAAATTGTTTATGTTGTAATGATGAAAACAAATTTTGATTCTCAAAAACTGCTTTCCATTTCTCTGTTTCATAATTTACCCCCTCACTTGGTTTAAAAGACTCGACATATTTAGTTATATTTTCGGCCCATTCAGGAGCACCTTGATTATTCGGTATATTCCACAAAAGTATAAGTAAACCATTCGATTTTAATACTCGATTTAGTTCAGTAAGTGTCTGGTGAGTTGCAAACCAATGAAATGCTTGTGCACAAATAATTATATCAATAGAACTATCATCAAATGGAATATGCTCAGCTGTTCCATCGATTATTTTTGTAATTATTGGAATTTTCTTAAGGTTTTCACGCATTGCTGCTACTGGTTCAATTGCAACTATTTCTTGTGCAGCCATAGATCCTAATAA